AATTAATCCGTTTTAGCCTCCCCTCCAAAAAAAAACAAAACAGCACCCTATAATTTTTGTAAACGAGAATTGTATCTCCCAAAAAAACGTACGTCAGGTCACTTGTATGTCAAGGCAACACTGCAGCTCTCACTTTTTACGAGTACAGACGAGTATGTTGGTACCCATATTATACGTAAGTGCTGTGTTGACTGGAAAAGCTTGAAGAAAGCCTCTGTGGAGAAGACTGGCGTGGGGGTCCGGCGGGTATGATGGCATCGCGGCACACTGTGGACTCTGCGTGCCGGATCCTGCCGTCGGATGCTGTTGCCCCGGCAACGCTTGATACGACGACGGCCTGTGGGGTGTGGGCCACGGGTCAGCGTAGCCCTTAGCAGGCTCACCTGGTTGCGCGGCAACTGCCTCGGAGGAACATGCAGGCTGGAGGGGGCAATCGGGAGGGCAGTGAGGGATCTGGGGTGGGTGGATTCGGGGCTGCATGATGTGGGCCTGCTGGAGGGGGAGCAGGTACAGGTAGGGCATGTAGAATGGCCAGGTGTATGCCTGAAACACAACAAACATCTGCATTCAAAACTTGGGTGTTGACGTAAATGGTACATTTTACAATAATGCTGTCTATTATGTTTTTGGAACAAAGCGATAAAGAGTACGTCAGTGGGTGGAATTTGGGTGTAGCTGTTACCTGTAATTCATTGATCGCCCTTCTTTTTTTATTTCTTGTTTTATTAGTGGTCCTTGCATGAACCTCATGCAACGTCAAAAGCGCCTACTTTGGCGGCAATTTGCCAGTATTACTGCCCTCATGCAACGTCGAAAGCGCCTACTTTGGCGGCAATTTGCCAGTATTACTGAAAATTAATAATTGTTTGATAATATCAAATGTTGTGTTTATTGATGAAAAGATTAGTTGTGTCAGGTGCTAGTGCATACTTGATTGACATGTATGAGGTCACACCGATTTGTGCTCGCGTGTTAATTAGGCCCGTGTGCTAGTTAATACAATTGTGGAGGTGGTTTGTTTTGAATCATTTAAAAACGGAAACAATCTATGGAACATGGGTTCCCGATTGTGTGCATGTTACATGCACGGTCTTGGTGCTTTTTACCTTCACACCCAAGTTGAAGAAAAACCTCAGGACGTTGATATCTGTGGAAGCAAAATCATCAGCGGGGTAGACATGATGGACTGCAACACCTAACTTGACATTCCTCACCCTGGGGGAGGTCTTCTCCTGAACTGTGGAGAGAAAATTCGGGAGTTGGGAGCACATTGCCGTTCTCTCCCTGGGGGAACCCAGGGTATAGGGGGTCCTGGTAGAGGTGGTGAACGAGGATGCCTCCGGGAAGGGTCGGGAGGTGTCCAAGTGGGAGAGGAGCAGCAGCCAACAGCTGGGGGGAGCCAGAGGAGGGAACGGGCAAGGCCTCGTGAGCTGGTAAATTCTCACTGGGATTCTGGAGTGTTGGGTTGATGAGGGGAGAAGATGTAGGCTCCGACTGGACTTGGTTCTGGCTGTGTGGGGGATCCCAAGCTTTGCCGCCGACATCGGCCACCTGATCCTTCAATTCTTGAGCGGACCTTTGATCCATAGTTGCATCACCCCGGTTGTGGAGCGCTGACACGCTCTCAGCATCTCCAGCATCTGGATATTTAACTGGAAAGACATCAGAGAACTCTCATTGTACACTTCTCACAAAAAAGTTTTGGGTACGGGTCTATCCCTATTGTATAAATAAGGCCCCATGTCTTACTTGACCTCTGAGCTGAAAGTCGGGCATCGGTGACTTGAGGACGAGGAAGCACCGGTGATGAAGACGAGGAGTTCGGGTACACCGGAGGACTGGGGGAGGACAAATGGGGGCTGAAGGCCCTCGCAGCCCCTGGAGACGGTGCGATGGGAGCTATGAACGTGGGAGCTGGAACGCAAGCGGGTGCAGGGGAGGGACTTTTTGAAGATGGGACAGCCGCGCCCGTCGAAGGAGACGCATCAGTACTTTGAAGAGGTCCAGTGGCACTCTTCTGTCTTTCCCAAGCAGAGGGAGAGAGTGTCTCAACATCTTCAAGTGGACTCTGAAGAAGACAGATTTCATTCTTCCCTGAAGAAAAACATAATGCAAAGAACGACGGATGCACGGATTGCTTACCCCGAGGGCCGGAAAGCTGAGCTCATCCCTGAGACGGATCTCCACCAGCGCCACATTCTTCAGCGCCTCCTCTTTGGCCAAACGCTCCTCCTCAGTCAGGCCAAAAGACGAAGTGTCAGGTGCACTCCTCCTAAAGAACAGCACCGACTTGGTACATTCCCGGGAGCAAATGAAGAACTGTCGCATTTACCTTTGCCGCCTCGGCTCCTCATGCGGCGGCCGCGACTTCTTCAGGCGCGCACGTCCCCTTGGGCTCGAAGCGGACCCTCTGGGTATAGAGGAAGACTTGTGTCCAGGCTTGCCAGTGCACCAAGGCCCCTCTGGAAGACAAAGCAAGCCTCACCCTTGACACAGACATCACATCACAAGGAAAGGCCCCTTTTACAACAGTCTCATCTGTCATTTGACATTATCGAACATGCCAATACCTTGCTGCCCATTGCTAAATCTCCCCTCACGACGGACGGCAGCGCTCTCCGACGTCACGGGTCGCAGGCTCCACAGAGGAACACGTCTGCCATCAGACACGTGCAGCAGTTAGCGTGTCTACAGTGGTGCCTTGAGATACGAGTGACCTCGGCATGCGAATTTTGAGGAAAAGCAAGTAGCGGTGCAGCTGATCATTTTTGCTATGCCCGACCAATTTCTGTTTAGCTTAATGCTAAACTATAAACAGGTTAAAGAGGAGCATCAGTGTTACGGTGTAACAACCCTTTCAGCAACAGATATTTGGACACAAACAGCAGAGAAACACATGATGTCAGAAAAAAAATACTGTCAAGTATACATTTTGCCGTGTAAATGAATATGGCCACATGTTTGGATTCGAGAAGTTCACTCGCACATCTGTGATAAATTAAAAAATGCCAAAATGTTGGGTGGTCCACGGTGCATGACATCATTGTGAAAGTAAAAGTGAATTACCCCCATGCATAGTAACAGCATTTGTAATTTGTATTTATGTCTAACTCACAGTTGGCCTTCCTCTTCTGTGTGGACCATCACCAGACCATCACCGGGCGGGACTTCCTCAATGGTGGCATTGTAGCTCTGTTCACTTTCATCCAGCCACACCTACAATAATTGAACGGCGATTAGTCTGTGCGGACATTGAAAAAGGAAAAATGTACATCTTCCAAAGTCAGCGTGCCGGACCTGACATTGTTGGCCCACAGTGTACTGCATCCCCGCAGCCATGCAGTAATCCCGCTTTAGTTGCGCTGAAAGACATTCCATTTTCTTAGCGCATGTCGATTTAAACGGGAGGAAAAAAATTGTACCGATGCCGTACCCTTCTTGGACTTGTGCCATACGTCATATGCAACATTTCGGTACAGGCTCTCACTCAGTGACCGGCGCACACTTTCTGGCAAAACAAGGCCGCTGCCCCGCCCCTGGATTCACACAAAGTGCATTGTCAGATTTATACTCGCGACGGACAAAATATAAGGTCACATTAAATTGAGGTCAATCCCAACATTCCGACCAAAAGCCCAATCTCCCGAACTTTTCTGTCACCCTTGTCCGGCTGTTGTTGCTCCTGAACGAGTTGCCGGTGTCCGAGTCGTCGCTGCTGATGCACGGCGCCATGTTGTCGTCATTCAGCCGCTCGCCAGCTCGGCCGCTCGACTGATAGGAAGCCACGGTCTGCCGGCTCACCTGGAAGACGTCGGCGTACAGCAGCTCGTACAAGATGGCTGCCGCGCAAAGACATTACTCATCACACGGGCTTGACGACTCGTTCGCTGAATCGTTTTCCGGTGAGGACAAAGTGCGTACTAGTACATCCGTGCCTATGGACTAGATCTGGGACTCACACTGGCAGAGCGCAGCGTTCTTTATACGGCTGATGGGATAAACACTGTCGTAGTGATTCCCGTTCAGAAAAGACAGCTGGACCTGTGGGGCGGGGGAAGAAGTCAATTCTAGGCACACAGCACTACAACATCTTTTTCTATATGCAGGGTATAAACAGAGTACGCGTTGCGGTAGGTGGCAGAAAGTGTGTGTCCCGATCGTGAGAAAAAATGCTGCAATTCGTGGCGTGAAGAGCGAATGACATGTATCAGAGCCAACGACGTTCAACTCGGGGCCACGCAGAGTCATTGTGGTGAGTTGGTGTGTGAAACAAACCTTCTCCTTGAACTTGTTGCCTGTGATATCCACTGGAGATTTGCCAAGCTCTTGAAAGATCACAAAGTCTCTCCTATAGACATGGGCAACAATCACTAAAAGTTTTAATCATCTCTAAAATGGAGCAGACATACAAACTTGTGCTTACTTGAACATGATGGCCAGCGCGTTCATCTCCACCTCGCCTGCCCACTGCTGCAAAAAAAAAAAAAAAAAAGACTGTTGGCATTAACTGAGACAAAAACAAACAAACAAAAAAAAAAACACCCAATCAGGTGTTCAACTTTGCTGCGTTACGATTATGAGGAAGTCTCACTTGCGGGTCCTGAAACCGCTGCAGGTACGCTTCAAAATCGCCTTCAATAAACTTCACAAACACAAACACAAACATTAAAAAGTTCCAGAGACGACGCAAGTACTTCACGTCAAGTCTACGGTTACGAACTAAAGCATGTGCCAAAGTTTGGGTACACCCAGGGTGAAGAGTATGTTCAGTTGTGCCAACAGTTATCAGGGAGTGCTTTATGCCGTTATTTTTGTCATTTCAACATTACACCGCTGATTTTTAATTTATTTATTGATAACAGAATTTACTGTTTTGTACAGTGACCTTAAGTCTAATTGAATTCAATCTTTACAAGTCCCACATATTTTTTTAATTGGAGGTACTATTCAGAATAACTACTTTCAGGTGCAATACAGTTTAACTGAATCATTAAGCAGCTTTTTAATATCCTATATTTAATTAAGCATAATGTAAATGCTAAAAAAAAGGGTTTATAAGATCAAACATATTTTTGGGAATAAAATTTCTGTCATGCTGCTGTATTTTAATGTTGCCATGGTAGTACTTTGAAAATTCCGCTGTTTTTTGAGGTGGGTACGTGGTATAAGAAGTTCCATTAAGCAGCTTTTTAATATCCTATACAGTACTTTGAAAATTCTGCTGTTTTTTGAGGTGGGTACGTGGTATAAGAAGTTTTAGAACCACAGAAGATGACTTCATAGCAAATAGCAGTCATGTGTTGTGCACAAACACATGTAGCCAATAGAAGCACACTGCACACACACACACAAAAAAAAAAATTGCATCATCACCTTCATCCACAAGTTCCTTGGATTTCATGAACACATGAAATGCACAAAAAAACAATGCATAGCAGAAAAAGCCAAAACAGAGCAAAAGACACAAAATGCAACTCAACAGTATCTTTGAGCACAGCGCCATCTGATGGAGAGGATGAATCATTGCCGGCCCCAATGAAAAAAATACCACAACTCAGCGCACAGCTCAAGACAATCAAGCAGCACAGCAGGCAGGTTCACAAATAGCAGCGTCCGCCACGTCACTTACATAGCCAAAAAGAGGAGACAAACGGCACATAAACATGGCTCATTGTAAAATGAGCATTTTAGAAAATATATGATACATAGAATATGGAGGTTTGGGGGGGCGGGGGGTTGTGTCTAAATGAATTGGCAATTAAAAACAGCATTTTGTATTTCATTTGATGAACTCAAATCTATGTCAGTGATAAATATGCAAAAAACACAGTTATCAGGAAGAGAGAAAATACTTTCTCATGGCACTGTATTTAAGCACGCGCATGGACACACACCCACACACAACTGCAGCTAGAGCAATGGGAAACTAGTCAAAAATAAATAAAAATAAAATAAAAATAAATTTTCAACAAGCAGCAGCAAACATCCAGAAGCAAACAAGATTCATCATGACTCGTATATTGGCAAGACAAAGTGACATATAAGAAACTTTTAGGTTGGCTTTGAAAAGCAACGTTTTTAATGTGCTGTTAAGTGTATAGGGTGCCCAAACCTCTGTGCATGCTCAAGTTGCTTTTGGGGTAAATGTGTCAAAGCAACACCTGACTAATCTAAACAATCTTGCTCCGAGGGACTCTTATCACCAACGCGTTTCGCAGAAACTTAACGTGCACTCACTGCCTCATAGATCTCTCTGTGCTGCCTCAGGAAGCGAATACACTGGGCCCGAACTTGTGCGTGAATACTTTGGCAGTGAAGAACCTGAAACAAGAGCATACATAAGCACATATGAGCATACGACAAAGTGGTACAATAAAGGCATTTTCTTTGTATTTCGGGAAGAACGTTCAACTGCTCTGCTCGCAAACGGTTTGCAATACAGGGAGTGTCAGAAAAGTTACAGGAATTGACTTTTAGTTATTCCACACAGCACTTGCGCGCACTTGTTCTTTGAGAATACACAAGTCAGGCGAGTCTTTTCTCGACTGGTTAAAAACTAATTAGACTAAGATATGCAAAGTGTGAAGATAATGACAAGATAAGATTTGAGAGAGTGGAGGGGTTGCCAGGGAACGTTCCCAGGCCCTCAGAGATTTCTCTTTTTTTTTGGGCGGGGGGCTGATAAATGAGCAAAAATATTAATATTCCAGTCAAACTGAGACAAGAGCTCATGACTGGAGGTGAAAAAAAGACTGCGTCCCATTTTTCAAATAGGAGTTTGTGTAATGGGGCGGGGGGGATTGCGTCACGCTAGTAACACACAACAAGGACAGGGGGCTTCTTTAATGGTATATGCGGCATTTTGTCTGACAAGCCACACGAAAAAAAGATTACGTCTGAGCAACATATGCGCTACTTGGTGGCAGTTGATGCCGTCACGCGAGCCACAATACAGAAATTAAGATGGTTTGTTTGTACCTGTTCGGCCACGGCACGAAACAAGCACGACCCGTCCTTGGCGACGCGTTTCCGATGAAGTCCGACGGTGGCCAAGTAGTCGTCCATGAGCGCCTCTTCCTCGTTCGCTCGCATGTTGCCAGCGCGGTGAATGCTAACTCAGGCTACCGCTGCTATTTTCAGCAACTTGAAACGCACTAAAGACGAGCACTCGCCATCGACCAAACTACAAGGTGACGCGTGCATATGACGGGGTTCACTTTTGTTTTCCAGAAAGGGGCCGCCCTTCCTTCTGAGCTTGCTCGTTAGCAAGGAAGTCGTGAAAACGAAAGTAACTTTCACTTTCCTTTTAACGGGCGGTCCTTACCATCAAGGTAGCATTTAAAAAGCGCCTTACTTCCGGGTTATGGCCACACATTTCCCGCCAAACGCACAACGCGGAAGTCATTCAGCCAATAAGCACGCGATGATGACAGCACCATCGATGCATTGATTGGCTCTCTGAACTGAATGATTGCTTCATTTAAAAACATGTAATAATAAAGTGGGCGGGGCGGTGCTCGACTGGTTAGCTCATCCGCCTCACAGTGCAGAAGTGGAGGGTTCAGTTCCGGCTTCGTGCATGCGTGGGTTTTCTCCGGGTACTCCGGTTTCCTCCCACATTCCAAAAACATGCATGGCAGTTTAATGGAACACCCGAAATTGTCCCTCGGTGTGAGTGTGAGCGTGAAGTTTGTTTGTCTCTGTGTGCCATGCAACCAATTAAAAAAAGAAGTGAATAATTGTCATGTCTTTTAATTTGGATTTAATCGTGGCATTCAATGTAGCCCTAATCGTCAAAAATGGTCCCTTCTAACCTTGTGATAGTAACTGCAACATGATGGTGGTATTCAGAAGGTGAACGAATCACTTCAATCCCCACTGAAGGTCCAGGTACCAAATGGACTGCTTTCTTGCCCCTCTTCCTGTGCTTCCTCGCATCCTCCTTCTCCTTTCATTTAGTGAAATCTAATAATGACCTGTTTGTAAGCTCCCTTGGCTACAACAGGCCAGGTAACCCTGGCAACCAGAAAGGGGGGTGGAGGTGGGGCAGTGCCCATGGCGATTGACACTACCCACTCACTCGTGAGTGTGTGTGCGCAGTGAAGAGTGTGACCTTCATGGCTCTGACTTATTTATTAATTTGCCGCCTCGACAGTCATACTCTTGGATGATGATCGTGATCATGCTGAGGCAGAAAAGAAACCGTCGTGAGACAAAGAAGGAGGTGTTCCTGTCCTGAAATGAGACTTTATTGATCAAGCGGAAGCAAAGAGGACTCAGCAGAGGACACCACCACGACCCTCTCCGGGATCCATCCACATTTCAAGCATGGGACTGACTGCTGGTTCTGCTGAATCCGTGAGCTCATTTGTTACAAGACAATCGACAGTCGCTGGTCAAACTGTACTGTAAACAATCTTGGAATGCAATATATATATATATATATATATATATATATATATATATAAACATTTCTTCTAATGATTTGTCTTTTTTTAATTTTTTGCATCAGCAAGCCAACAAAGTGCACATGGGTTGCTATATACAACAGAAAGATCAGCAAGAGCGTCTTTGTCCTTCAGAACCTCCATCGACACTGCCACACAAAAGCAAACCAAGTGAAGTAACACACAGAAAGGAAACTTTTTTTTTTAAGACAAAATATAGTGCAGCTGTGATTTAGAGCTGGTTTGGGAAAAAAAAAAAAAAAAGATTCTGATACATTTTCATGCAGTTCATTCGGGCAATAATCACTCTAATTAGGGATGCACCAATAGCAGTTTTTCTCCCGCAGATTGATTGAGGGTACTGCCAATGCAGCTTACAATTGTGATGAACATATATTTAATATGAACCAAATATGGTTAAAAAACACAAACATTTCTTGAACATAACACAGGTTTCATTCACTCAAACCTCTGTAACCCATTTTGAGACATTTTAATATTTTTTTTCTTCAAGACCGCTTCTTAGCAGAGTTTGTCCTCCATTTCGCAGGGCATAATAGGCAGTCGGTAAGGATTGTGATCCGTGTGATACGCACGTGGATACTACTCCCCCTGCCCGGAAGTTACATACAGCTGATGGTAGTATCAGAATATTTTTTGGAAGTCCAGACAAACAGTACCAAGATTGGTATTGGTGCATCCTTAAATAATTAAGCATTGCATGAATTGCTCATGACCATTAGCTGTGGCTATGAAAAAAAAATTTTGAGGGTGCGAATGACCTCAAGGAAATATTTACAGTTTTGGTTCACTGACACTCATTGTCTCATCATTCTCGTAGATTCACAGAAAAGCTGGCTGTTTCTGAAGGACAACACATACCTAGTAGTAATAATTCAAGACAATCATAAGAAAAGGAGTCAAGTGCTTTACGAGTTAGCACTCCAATGATTGGCGAAAAGCAGACGACGTTGAGTGCGTCAGTTTTTGACATTCTTAAACGTGGCAGCGGGAGCTTTACATCCATCGAAGGAGACATGAGAAAAAGATGAAGAAAGAGGACAAAAGGACGAGGGAAGACATTCACAAAGATGTCAGGCCTAGGTAGCCAAGGAAAGAATGTTTGTTGGAGGAGGAGGAGGATGAGGGGAGAGAACACGGGGCCGCACCGGAGTGAGGCTTCAGCGAGAGGAGAGTCGTGATGGGCACAAGAGGAGACAAATCCCTCCACCCTGCTAGCTCACACAGCGAGGGTTGAAGAGGAAGATGAGGAGATGACGAAGATGAGGAGGGCACGCTGGTGTGCAGTCGCCGAACGTGTTTGCTGGGATTGTCTCCATGCACGTAGGAGCGGTGCGTGTGCACGTTGCCGGGGGAGTGCGCGGCGCTCGCCGCGGCCACGGTTGCGTGCGCTCCGTGCTTGACCTTGCAGTGCAGACGCAGGCTGTCCCGCCGCTTGGCGCTATACGGGCAAAGGTGGCAGGTGAAGGGCCGCTCGCCGGTGTGCACGCGCACGTGTTCCACCAGCTTGTTGGCGGTGCGCGTCAGGTGGCCGCAGCGCTCGCACCGGTACTGGTTGCCTTGGCGATGACCCTGGAAGTGAACCAGCAGCTCTGGTTGCCCGGGAAACGACCTCTGGCAGATGCGGCAGCGATGCTCTGAGGTGATCGTCTCTGGCAGGGTTGCCGTGGCAACTGTAGGTGCGCTGCCGGCGGGAAGGGTGAGGGGGCATCTGGCGGGGGTGGAGGTGAAGTGCGGTGGTTAGCGCACCCACGATCGTTGCTGCAATCGCACTTCTCTTGCTAGCGTTAGCAACTTTTTGCTCCTAAAAAGCACTTAGCAGTAAATTTTTGTTCCAGATGGTTTAAATATGTTTGGAAACTTTGAGCAAGTTTTGAAGTGATCCAAATGCTAAAAGACCAAACTAGATCAAGGATGGACAATTTAAATGCTGGAGGGGGGGCGGGGGGCACAATTTTTCAATGCTCCTGGCGGGAGCCACATAGGACCGCACACCCGCTAACAAGACAAAATGCTATTTCAAATATGGATAAAGTATGCGCTCTTAATATATTTAATTTTTGATAAGAAAATTTTCAATGCATGTAGAAAAGATCCAATAAGCTAACTCAACAATCAAGAGTTTGAAACAAACAACAATAAACCACATACTGTATTTTTTTTTCCTTTACAAAGGGCTCGCTTGCAAAAAACGTACTTCTCATGGATGGCACAAAACTGCTGGACTAAAAAAAAAAAAAAAAAAAAAAACACATTAGGTGAAAGAGCTCTTTTTTCCCCCAAAAAATAATCAAGTTACTCCAAATTTTTAATTTAATTAAGGTGCTTGGTTTGTCCTTCATATCCAAATCCTCAAAAAATATTAGTCTGACTCCCGTTGTAATATAGGGCAGTATAAGATCAAGTGTAAGTGCAGCGAAGACATGTCTGTGTTGGTGACTGGTGATATTACAACTTAAAACTACACTCAACCCCTGCTTAATTGCAGTTCGGCACCTGCAGATTCACACATTTGCTGCTTATTTGTTTTATTTTTGGGGCGAAAGGGGCACTACACCCTAAAGTGATTGGCAGTCAGTTGGATAAATAAAGGGCACCGCCCCCCCCAACCCCCAGCTATTTTTTAAATTAATCAAAGGGCCACCCAGAGTGTTGCGGGGCGCCAGTTGCCCATCCTTGAACCTGCTCATAAACAAACTAATCTAAATTAACATGTTTCAATTTATTTATTTTTTTTGCCAATATGGCCAGCCAATTTGAATATTATTACGGTGTAATCGACATAATGCTGTAATTAAAATAGAACAACCCCCTTTTTTTTCAAGAATAGGTTATATGTGCCACCATTCGACTAAGCACGATATTCTGATTCATATTGCATTTGTACAATAAAACCGAATTGATTAGTTTTCATCCATTCGAGGGGGTGCAACAATGGGCAATATCGCCCTCTGCTGTCGACAGAAAAAACATTGTTGCAAAAATAAAATGTGGGGTGAAGACCTCCTTTAATCATATAATTTAGCAACTTCTAGCAACAAATGGCCCTTCCTTGAGCAATATCCCCAAAAGAAGCGACGGTCGCGTCACACCTGGTGGCTCCGCCTAGCACATGCTTGTCGGCGTGCGCCTTCATGGCCGCTTCCTGATTGGTGGCGTGGTCGCAGACGCAGCAGCGCAGCGAGAAGGATCCGCGCTCCTGCTGCCGATGCTCCGTCATATGAGCCCGGAAAAGGAGGCGCCCGTCGGTCTCGAAGCCGCACACGTGACACCTGAGCGCAAGGAGCAAGGTCCTTCGTATCCATGGCGACGGCAAACCAAGCTTTTCAGTGGATGAGGCCAACTCACCTGTAGAAGAAGCTCACACTACCTCGTGGGCTGCTTGGATTGCCTGCAGGACACAAAAGCAACAAACATCTTTTATGTTTTGTGTTCTGTTGTACTATTTTTGTTGTTTTATGTTATGTGGTTGGTAAAGCGCTTTGATACAGCTGCAGCTGTTGTGAAAGCGCTATATAAATAAACATCGAGTGTACTTTATTGTACATATTGTATTATCTCAAAACTGTCGTGGCAAGCAAAACAATGAAATGCTCTTCCACTAGAGGGCAGTACCTGCTTAAGAGCTCCATGGCTAGTTTTTTGCTTTTATTTTCGGGCAAAAATTTAAGATACCTCTGGATATTTGACCACAAACAGTACATCCTCACATGGAAACAGACAATATAACAATACTCACCGGAATATTTTCCTTTTGATCTGCGAGATACAACTAATATTATTGCAATTTAGTGAGTCACGTACAGTAGTTGTGAAAATCTTTGTGTCTCTATGACTGTCTTATACTGCCCCTGGTGGCCAAATAGTTTATTTCTTTACAGTCACTTCAATTACTGTATGTTTTAATAAAGTCTAATATTAGAGAGTGCTATTTTCCTTATTTAAAAAAAACACATGGCAATTTTTGTTGGGTTCAAACATATTAAAATTAACTCCCATTCATGTGAATATTTTAAGATACAAGCATTGTCATGGAATGAATCAAACGCTTTTTTCAAGGCCTTGAAAAAAGTCTTGTACTTGACTGACATAGTATTTAGTGCATTGTATTCGATATTCAGATTTTTATTTATTTGTTGCCCAACATGCTATTTTGCTGTTGCAAATTTTTGTAACCACCAAAAACAGTTAACACATCAGAACTGTGGATGTGTTGCATACCATACGCAGGCTCCGAAGGGCAGGACCAGGCCGGTTCCGCCTTCAGGACTGGACTACATGCGACACAAAGACATGGACACACTGCTTAGAATGCTGCATAAGAAGAAGAAGAAGAAGAAGAAGAAGGTAGCAGACACAGACCTGCGCCTGGTGGGGGGGTTAGTCCTCAGTGCCGGCACACTGGTGGATTTCGCGACCCGCTCTGGATGGAGAGCAAAAGCAGAACATGAACATTACAGCTGACATGACAAAAGTAAACCATGTTGTGTGCTACCTGAGAGCTGGTGAAGCAACGTGGATGCCAGGTTGACAGACATGTCCTGCCACAGCGCCGCCCGCAGGCACTGCTCTGCCATTTTGGCTCCGGAACACAACTGGTCTCCGAAGAACTGCCGGTCCTCCATCGCGACGCCAGAGAACAACCGGGGTTGGGTCTCTTCCTCCATTTTTCCCCTGAGAAGAATTTGCTCGGCCAAGGTGGCCGCCGAGCTCTCCTCCTCCTCCACTTTGACAGCAAGCGTAACATTCGGAACATCACCATCGAGATGGGGATCGGCCATCTCCTCCGCCTCGACGTGTTCTTTTTTGACGGCCAAAAGACGGTGACCTCCATCGCTAGAAGAAGACGGGCCTTGCACGTCTCTTATTGGCCCGTCACGGAAGACACCTGACATGCTCTGCGTGTCGATTTCCATGGAGGCCTCTTCCTCCTTGACCTTCACATGGGGCTGGGTCAGGAACTGACTCTCTGCCATGAAAAACATTTCCTTATGTTCTCGCTGTCAAATGGATGGATCAACACACATGCACACACACAAACCTGCCAGTTTCCTCAGCAAGTCCGAAGCCAGCGTGTCAGTGGTGGCATCACCCTCAGGTGTGTGCGTGAGCGAGGGTGGATCAGGACTGGCCCCGGGGCCATCGGGGGACAGAGCAAGACCCGGTTCCTCCTGCTGCCCACCTCGACCCTCTCCTCGACTCCCAGGGAGCATCTGGGACTTCTGGGTGGCCTCTGAAGTCACACACAAAAAGACATCAGACAGGCACTATGTGTGCTCATGTGTGTGTGTGTGTGTGTGTGATTTTAAACTACACAACAGCCTAATGAGAAGGTCAGACGCCATCTTGGTGTTGACATCAGGGCTGAAGAGAGAAGTCGCTGCCAGGAAGGGGCTCAAACCTGCTGTGCACAACTCCGACCTGCGGTCAGCGTGCACGTGGTCCTGCCGACGAGCTGCCTGTGTGTGTCGTTGGGCCACGTCGGGAGGAGGAGGCGGAGGAGGAGGAGGAGTAGGCTGTAACGCACTCGACCCACGCTTCATTTCCCAGCGACGAGGAAGGGAGTCACACTCAGAAGAGAGGCGAGCGATACGAGAGGAGGGATGCTAAAATAAGACGTGAAGGTTCTTGGCCACTTGGTGGAGACGAGAGCATGATGAAAATCTACTCTTTCGACTGTTTCTGACCTGTGAGCGAAGGATGAATGCCAAGGGAGGCAGAAGACGGAAGGTGAATGACGAGCATGACAAGAAACAAAACATGATCAAAGTGAATCCCCTAATCCGGCAATCATTGAATGGATATGACCCGATAAGTGTCATAATCACATCACCATGGTAACAGGCTGCAGCATCTCCTGCCCTGACCTTATTTGCAACAATCCATTCTGATTATGGGTGGGTAAAAAATATCGATTAATCGATGCAGTAATAACTCCCATAGGCTTTAATTTTTTGGTATATGTACACAACTGCCATGTTTATTACTTTTGTCAATGATTTGTAAGTTATTCTGCAAATCTTTATGTTCAGACATTCTATTGCACAAAAATGTGATGTGGCATACCATGTACGTTCACGTGGCCATAAAAAGACATTAAATTTGTCAACAGGGATGCTATAATTGTTTTTAATGAATTAAAATCCATCCATCCATCCATGCATCCCTCCATTTTCTAATCCCCTTATTCTCGCAAGGGTCACACACAGACTTGCTGGAGCATATCCGAGCTGTCTTCGGGCAGTAGGCAGTTTACTCGCAGTAATAACTCCCTTAGGCTTTAATTTTTTGGTATATGTCCGCAACTGCCATGTTTATTACTTTTGTCAATCATTTGTAAGTTATTCTGCAAATCTTTATGTTCAGACATTCTATTGCACAAAAATGTGATGTGGCATACCATGTACGTTCATGTGGCCATAAAAAGACATTAAAATTTGTCAACAGGGATGCTATAATTGTTTTTAATGAATTAAAATCCATCCATCCATCCATGCATCCCTCCATTTTCTAATCTCCTTATTCTCACAAGGGTCACACACTGACTTGCTGGATCATATCCGAGCTGTCTTCGGGCAGTAGGCAGTTTACACCCAGAACTGGTCGCCAGCCAATCCCACTGAATCAAAATTAAAGCATTTTCATTATTATCAAATCACAACCTAAACCATCAAAATCAGCTAGTGAGGTTCTTCACAATATCCAGCCCTAATTCAAAAGTCAGTAACAAGCTGCAGGGCCCAAAACATTGCATTGTTATGTAATTTTTTTATATAAATAAAATTATCCAATGTTCCACTCATGTCAATCGAAATTGGCAAAATAAATAAATAAAGGATGATAAATAATGTCCAAGTGCAATCGTAATATAGTCAAATTGTTGGAAACTATTAATATGTAAGTAATAATTAACACTAATTCGGTCCTCTCTGACTCCAGTCGACCCGGTTCACTCCAACCTCTCAACTCGACATTCGTGACTCACGGGAGTCCGTAAATGACCGTGACCCCCTTTCCTCCATCCCTCCCTGTTCGGTACCAGTCGCACGGAAGGTGTCCGAACCCTCCGGACGGAGCGGGAGTTCCCACCGGTGCTCCTCGCCGTTCCCCTCTCCCTTTCCCCCGTCGCAACATGGCTGACACGCCGAGTCACAAAGTCACTTCCCGGCGTGGGAGGACGGGCGCGCCAATTTGGTACGGAGAAGCGGCAAATTTGTTCCGTTTTCAGCTGGTACCAGGAAGGAGGGCAGGTGTCAAGAGCCCAGTCGCCCCCTCCCTCACCATCCCTCTCCCCCTCCTTCTCTCCATCACGCCCCTGCAACATGGCTGAACGGAACTCGACCTCACGAGACCTCTGAAGTCCTCCACTCGGGTCATTTCGCGTCGACAACCCGCCCCGGGACGACCAGACGACGCCTTGCCGCCGCCCCCACTTCCCCGCTCATCCTCCGAGACTTACCGGTACCGGGAGGGCAGGTGGCGGCGGTGGTTGAGATGGTGCAGTCCAGGGCAGATCCTATATATAGACCACACATCTTACTGGCGGTGAATTCTCTCTTTTTTTTTTTTTCCCCCTTTTTGGCGTGCCCCTCGGGCTTTTTCCGGCCCTTT